ACACGCATACACATACACATACACATCGCGCTCACGAAAGATCTGTGAAGCGAGCCGACGTTATCTGAAACGTTGCTTCGGCATGATTTAATTACCCTTGAGGCAAACATCCGCTGTACTAAACGTTCCGCCGCCGTCTCTATCCATTGCTCGCTTCGGGATAGGGCAATAGCTCTGTCCACTCTGCCCGGCCGCGAGATTCACGATCCCTGCGCGATAGGGCGCGCGCCACGATACGATCGATGCGATCGATCGAAAGAGGAGGAGGAGGAGGAGGAGGAGGAGGAGAGGAGCATCGAGCAAGAGGACAATCGGACGACGTAGAGCGGACGTCGATCTTTGCCGCGCGACGCTCGAAAGCGGGTAAGCACGCTCGACGTGGGGGAGGGAGAGGGGTAGCAGGGAAGAGTTATTCAGTAATTAGCGGGATAGCATGGCCGTGCTTTCAGACGACACGCATCGAGAAAGCGGCGGACATAAGCGAGCGTACAACCTCTTTCTTACTCCTTCCACGAGTCTTTTAAAGAGACACGAGAAAGAAGAAGAAGGTTATAACCGGCCGCGTGGTGGTGATGCGTGTTTACAGGCCGAGGGAGGCCTCCTCCTTCGCCGGAATTGAAATGCTTCCGTAGAACTAATAGTCCTCTGTTCGTTTCCTCGAACCGCCGGCCACTTGCGTTAGGGTTAGGTTCGATGCACCGATCGTTCGTATATTTCTCGTGTAGAAGCGGAGGGGACGCGTCCCCAGAGGATTTCTTGCGCGATTGGCCGAGGGGGAGGGAACCAACCGGTGATAATGCGGGCGTCGTGTCGAGGAATCCGTCGTTCACGAGCAGGACGTGACGAGCGAAACGATTTTTATCCCGCTTTCGCCTTCTTTTTCGCATGCCGATTGGGAACGGGAATTCTAATTGCGAGGATCTTGGCTCGTGAGATCCAAGGTGCTTGGATCACGCGAGTCGTTTCTCCGAGTTACGTTGCTNGGGCACAGTTCGTCGAAATTGCGCGAGACGTTCACGATTTTTGATGCGTACTTTTTGTCGTAGATTCGCGAATGCGAGATGACTTGAGTCTGATTTTTGAAAGAGCAAAAGAAAAAAAGTGTAATAAAATATTCACTACCACTAATATCGTCTATATTTGCGTTCAGATCCTCGCGTATAAATTCTAAATAAATTCTTCAAATCACGTTCCGGACTCGTAAAAGAAACGGTGGGAAACGCAACGTTCTCCTCTCCTCGCAATTTCCTCGTAGATGCTCGAAAAGATCTACCAACCCTTGAATCGCTAACTTTATTGCGCTCGTTACATTCGTAGAACATCGTAGCATAGAAGGGAGATGCATTAAAAGCGCATGCAACCGGCAAAAAAGTGGGAACAATGTTCCCCGCAAGATTCTCTTCGAATTTTAACCGTTTCGTGTCGTACACTCGACTCCAAAGAGAGACCCTCGCGAGGATATCATTTTCCATGACGAGCGTTTTTCTGCATCTGCGATAATCGCCACGATCACGCGACATACGCAAATACTCTTACTCTGTAAACGTGCGAGTCAACGTGCAATTTCGGTTGAGCATTCCGCTCCAAGTATCCGCACAATGAAGCCGCGGGTGCACCGGTACGTACACCTGTAGCTCGAAACGAGAAAGAGTTGGCGATCGATGGCAATCCGAGCTGGCCTAGTCCTCTGCACGCGCTTCCATTCACCACCACCGGTTTCACGATTCGTCGGTGTGTATATAGGTACGTGGAGGCGCGCGCGCGCGCGCGCACGTGGATGCACGAAGATGAACGGGGCAACAGGTGGGTTCGCGCTGAATCCGCTTTCACCCGTTTCGACGAGTAGTCCCCTTTCCCGAGTCCCGTCCCGAGGAAATTTTGTACATCGTTTCCCGCGTAAACTTTTCCAACCGAAAAGGGAATTTCCACGTGTACTTTTTCTCCTTTCCTTGCGCGTCCAAGAAAGATTGAATTCTCCTCGTTGAAATATAAAGATTAGAACGTTTTCCAAGGAATTTTTTATGGAACCTTCCGAATTTTCGTTACGATTTTGTCCGCGTGGAAAGGAGAATTTTTCGAATTATTATTAACCCTGTTAACCTAATAATAGAGTTTGGAATTATTAGCTAAATTTACAGTCGGAATTTAAACGTAAACTAATATATTACTCGTTGCGGAATACGATTAGTAAAGATTTCTACCTTTCGTCGAAATGAAGTTGCAATGCGCGAACACAATCGGCAGCCAAACGAGCAGCCATTAAGAAATCTTCACGTAATATATACTTGTTCGAAGGTAACTTTTATCCGCCAATTTATCAAATAATCGTCATTACGTTTGAATCGAAACCGGAGTAACGTCTCACTCGAGGAACTCGACCGTTCTTTCGCAAAACTCTTATTGAATTCTCATCGCTTTCGACCGCTCTCGCGATCGAGATATGTTGCCGATCGGTCTAATTACGATTGACGAGCGCGAAACACGCACAAAGGGGAGGAGGATTTCGAAAATCGGAGGATACGCAAATGGAGCGGTTCGCGGAGAGGCATTGAGTGACCGCTCAATTCCTAGACTCGAGGCGGATTTCACGCTTTTTCACGCGCGAAAATTACGACTGGAGAGCGGTCGACGTTTCACCGACACTCGTTCCCTTTCCCTCCTTTCGCTCGTTCGCCCCAACGTTCCCCCTCGCGCTCCAGCTATCGTTCCTCCAGCTCGCGTATGATCTTCATTACGCGAAATTAGCGCTGTGCAAACATGGCCACACCTACGCGTTCGGCTCGTGTCGGCTCTCACACGTTCCTTGCTTTCTGCTTTTTCGCATCTGCGAAGAAATTAACACCTGAAGCGAGGCGTTTGTCGACCATTCTTTTTTACATTTTTCATTCTTTTATTTTTCTATTTTTTTCTTTTTTTTTTTTTTTTCTACCTTGTTCGAGACGAGGGTTCGTGGAAACGTTCGTACGTAACGATCGAAGATGCGCGGAAATCGTCGAGAAGGAGATACTTGAATTTATGACCCGTACGTGTTGCCGCGCTCGCGCGAGTTGAATTGAAATGGTATTCGATTGGTTTCCGTGAGTTTATTGCTTTGCGATATATGTGCGATGCGAGCGTGCGATGATCGAAATTTTATCAATGGGGAAAAATGAAAGATCCGAGGGGATCGTTCTTTTTTTTTTAAAAATCGTCTCCCCGCCGCTATTTCGCTCGACCGAATAAATTATTCGTCGAGATTAATTCTGATATAAAGAACGTTCTCACGCGAACAATCCTGAAAACTAAACCACTTTGATCATTGCACAAGCTCGGACGATATTAACGGAGCGCTAAATAACTCGGATTAACTGGACTCCGAAGCAGCCGGTTCGCTCGGCCACGGTCGCGGGAAGCGTGGGAAGTTATGCAAAATCGCTAGAGACGCTATTATCGGCGCTTATTTAAATTCTCTATAACAAGCAGGAAGAAAAAAAAACAGGAAAGAGGCAAGAAATAGATCGACTTACAAATCCTAGAATTGTACAAAAAATTCGAAAAAAGCGGAATATACGAGGAGAGATACAAAAAAATAAAAATAAAAAACACGGGGAGGAAAAAAATGGAATAATTGAATCCGTAGAAAATTCGACTAACATTTTGTGCTCGTAATCGTTTCAAACCTTCGAGCCAAGCTTATTACCTTCTACAAGAAGAAGACCTACCTGCCCATCATATCCCGCGTATGTATCCACTGGCTGTCACTTGTAAAAATATTTTTACCGAGGAGAAGAACGTCCGTTCCTCTTCTTGTCGCTCCTCTTTCACGTTCACAGCCGCGGGCTACTTTGTCGTCGTGCCTCGATCCCGAGGAATAATCACGCGACACCGTTGTCCTCGATAAATCGCCCGACGCAAAACAGGTCTTGAAATAGGATCGCTCGGGAAATTGCTAACGAACCGGCCCAGGTCGAAGTTCGTGGACGCTTAAACGAGCCCCGCCACGGCTCAAATTAACGTGCAACCATCGCCAACGTTGCGAATCCCAACGTGGAACGACCTCGTGCGGCAGCCAGCGTGCCTCGACCATGATTTTCACGTCGGACGAGCGCTGGAAATTACATGTCAATATGATGTGAACGAAGAAGCGAGAAATATTTTATTGCTCCGTCAGATTGCCAAGAAAGGAATTGGATCGTTCTTTTGCTCAATTTCAATTTTGTTTTTTTCTCTCTCTTTTTCTTTTTTTATCTCGATCGTGTTATACATTTCAAATATTTCTCGAGAAATAATATCGTTCGTAGGAAATTTCGAAGAATCGATTAACTTAAAGAAAGTTTTCAGTTAACTGTTAAATTAATCTTTGAATTAATCGTTGAATAGTTTCTTTGATAGATTCAATTTTTCCTTTCCTTAAATGAGAATCATTTATCATTTACGTTATAAATAAAAAATTAAATTCTTTTATCTAAGATTAATCCAATTTTCTATTCCTATGTCAAAAGGACATGGCTTAAGAAAATAGAAGCTGAACAGAGATTAGCAGATCGAACGATTTAAACGTTTTAATATTCGACCAATATTCGAAAGAAGAGATTGCTCGTTACAGATCGATGAAATTCTTTGAAAACACGATCGCGTTGACTTATCGACGTGGTTGTGTATCGGATATTCCGAGGGAAATCCGGTAATTAATTTTCCCAAGCGACACCTCTAAGTCTTCGCGGAAGCCCTTTGTACTCCGCCTCTAATTGCTTTCGTTTTATAGGAAAACTCGGCCGTGCATCGACAATAATTAAACAGCCTCACAAGCACCGAGCATCGTAACTCGAGCGGACAAATCGTGGATCGGGGAATAACTGTTAATTAATTTCCATCCATCGGCGCATTTGCACGGTGTGCATACTTACAATCCTCCGCGTAACCGCGAAATTTTATGGTATCCTCGAGACGAATTTCGTATTCATTCGATTTCTTTGTAAAATCGAAGAGGATTTGGAGAAGGAGAACAATAAATCAATTTAAATAAGAAAGATTGCAATGAGATCGATCGATTGAAAATTAAGATAAATTTGATTTGCTTGTGTTCAATTAATAACAAGTTTGAATAATTACAGGAGAAATGTAAGTGTATTATTCGTTGAAATTCTTTTCAACGATATCTTTTTTTTCTGATTTTCGTATTCGATTTATCCAAACACGTTTACGATATGATATGATAATAAACTGGATCAAAACGAATATTAAATTATACATGTATGTATGTACGATTGAATTAATACTTGAATAATAAATATTTCTACGAAAATTACGATAAATCGATAAAAACAAATAAATGATACGATTGATTCTTCTTCTCCAATGACTCGAATGACTACTTTCGTCTCGAACGAGACAAAGAATTGAATTACATTTCCCCAACGTTTCACCTCGAGCATCGACAATTACCGTTTCGGAATCTGAAACCGAGAAACCGTATACTTATCCAACGCCGAGTTGGAGTGTTAAACCGATCGCTGGAAACCTGTCCTCCAGAAAGTAACCGAGTAACAATGCTCGTGCGTAAAACAGCGATCATTACCATCATCACCGTTATCGGGCCGATCGTGATCGAGAGGGAAAAAGTATTTCGGCGTATTATCGTCCGTTCGTCGAAACAATTTGAAACACCTAATCATCGATCGCTCTCTTTCTCGTCCGGCACGAATCGGTCAAACCTCTAATTCAATAAAAATTTAATAGCGGTGGACGATGATGAGTGGGGCGAGAGCGGAGGAGGAGTGCACGCTCGATCGAACGAGCCACGGTGGAAGAAAGAAAGAAAGAAAGAAAGGAAGGAAGCGAGGCTCTGATCCTCGTAGCCGGCGGCCAGCATCATCGTGGTAAGGATCAGAGAGCCCTTATCAGATTTACCGACCCCTTTTTCGGCTAAGCGGGACGATAGGAGGAGGGAGGCGAGCGGAAGAAAGGGGAAAAAGGACAAAGAGGAAGGAAGAGGAGAGAAAAAAAATGGAGAAAGACAAGAGGAGAGTTGGTCCAGAGCGCCAGAGGCGCAACGCCATCGTCGTCGTCGCCGTTGCCGCCGCCGTCGACGGCTCCTTGAATATTTTAGGAATCGTGGG